CGCCCGGTCTATGTTGAGCTAAATCGGCTCCTCACGAGACTTTCGACCTGCACACCAAAAACAAGAAGAAAAAGGAGAAAAACACACGAAAAACACAAAGAAAACAAAAATGGAACAAAACACATAATAAAACACAAAACGGAATAAAAACTCACGAAAGGACCTAAAACGGGGGAAAAAGATTGATAAAACAATAACGAAAAATACAACAAAAATGGGACAAACAACCCAGACCAACAGGATTATGCGGAACCTGAGGTTAAGGACAACCCGCGAGGTCGTCCCAAGAAAACCAATTCAACTAAGCGTAATGCATGTGTTTGGGAGCACACCGGTAGATCGCGAGGTCAGAAATCGAGCCATACGACCAGTTCTTCGCGTGGAAAGACAAGCTCGTCTTCTCAACAGTCACAAGGGGAAGCAGGTGATACAATTTTATTTTTTTTATTTTTAAATATGGCTAAAAGTTAACAACACGATTTTTATGATTATATAAATTGTGACTTGAAATAATTATGATATTGCAGAGTTTAGACCGACAAATATATTTGGTTTTACAATGTGGCAAAATATCCCCTGGCATATGTTGGACTACATAGTGAGTTACCTGAATGTGGAATCGGATGGTAACTGCGGATTTCGGGTCATCGCGAGTTACGTGTATGGTCACCAGAAGTACTGGGCAGAGGCAAGAGAAGCTATTGCGAAGGAGGTCGACAACCACCGTGGATTGTACGAGTACATCTATTTTAGAGATATCGACACTGGACTTCATCAAGTAAGGTGGGAGAGCGGCGCTTGTGGATGAGAACACTAGTTCGAAGTTCCGCAGGACCTCTATGCCGTTGCGACCCTATTTAATGTAGTTGTCGTTCTGTTGGGCTTTGGTCCTCAATGTGGGTAACACAACTTCTTCAGCATCACAGTGTTGCCTCTCATTGCACGATCATCGGCTAGAGGACCATGTCGTGAGATTGCCATTTGCCATCTTGGTACCGTAGAACACTACATTCGTTTAGATTTGACTCCTGATTGTCTACTACCGCCTATTGAACCCATGTGGTCCCGTTACCGAGATCGATCAGTTGTGGGTTGGGAGTATCAGTACCAGGCTAGGTTGCAATTGTGGTATACTGTTCAAAATAAACCTTCTTGAATGTTCTTGTTAAAAACACATGTTTATCGAACTATATTTGCCACCTATCTGAATGTTGTTGTTGATTTTGAGAGACATTTTGTCTCGGTTCTTAAGAGGCATTTTGGGCGACTTTTTGCTCCTTTAAACGACTCTCGCGATTTTTTCATTTTTAATATGAACCATCCAACTTAATGTTTTACAAATAATAAATAACAAAAAAACCATTCAACTTTATGTTTTACAATAATACTTAAAAAAAATGCATTAAATCATCATCGGGCATTGTCGTAATCCAACTTGAATTTAGCTAAATCTTCTTCGACTTCCGCCTGCCATCGGACATTCGCAACCCCGCTGCATGTCACGTGTAATGCCCAAAAGACGGTTCACCCACTAAAAAAATGGACGAATAAAAAAATATGACTAAAATTTATTAAAGAAAATGTATTGTAATGAAATAACATTAATTAAAATTTAGTAAAACCAACTTACATATGAGGTATTGACACGCGTAGGGACCTCAGTCTCGTCCGCCAGCTCTTCGCCCATGACAGTCGGATGGGAAACCCGACTGTACCACTCCATGTAATCCTCAGTCGCCTCCCCGCGATCATGTGTGGTGGGTGTGAACATAGCGGTGTTGACCATCCCAGAAATCGGGAACTGGGTCCAGCAACCTACTGCACCAGCCTCAGAATGATCAACCCTGTAATTCCTAGACTCCCAAGCACGTACGGCACTGATTGGCAGGTATATAGGTGGAGGGACAGTCTGGACATATCCCAACTGACGCAGACACCGCGCAGGCAAGTACGGCTCGACGACATCGCGGTATCGAATCAATCCGCTATAAAGAGTCCTCGGCTCTATCGAATCTGGGCTGGAGCTGCCGTATGGCAACCATTACACCTGTTCACAATTGCATAAAAGCATTTATAAAAATAATTATATTATTTTAAATAACGGGTAACTAAATTTAAATAAAATAACTTCACGTACATCGGAGGCAGTGAGTCTGTCAAGGCGTCGACGGATGGCTGTGAGCCGATCCTCTGTCCTTGGCGCATTCCTTACGCTCCACCAGCGAGACCGTGCAACACAGTCAGGACCGATGAGCAGACGCCCCTGGGGTCGGAAATCGGGGAAATACTCATATATCCAAGACTGCAGAAGAGCCCAGCAGCCCGACATTTGGGCAGAGTCCCCTCGACTGGCAATACCGAGCTGTTTGTACAGGTATGCCAGCGTAGCCGATCTCCAGGAGTAACCCCCAATCAAATCCAAGCCGTCGAGCACCTCGTGCAGGAGCTTGGGGGTCACTCTACTACCACTCTTGTCGACGAACAATGTGGTAGCCAGCATCACCCACATCCAAGCACCCGCCTCATCCCTAGCCGGCCGGCCTTTCCCCCTAAAGGCCCCCACAATGGAGGATTCGGTCACCGAACCACGCTGCCAGAACGAACTCATGAGTTCGCCCTTGTTGACCGAAAGTATCGACATGCAGAGCCCATGGCAGGCGTCTGAATCCGGGTCCTCAGCGACCACGGCTCCCTCCACAGAAACGCCCAAAATGGCCCGGACGTCGTGCAGCATGATGCTCATCTCACCAAAAGGCAGGTGAAACGAGTTAGTATCCGGCTGCCATCGCTCCACAAACGCAGAAATGAGTGGAGTGTCCAAGTGGATGTGCATGGAGTCGGCCAGATGTGACAGCCCGGTACCGTCGATCAGAGCTCTCGCAGCGAGAGACATCTCATCACGCCACTTTATCAGATTCTCGACCGCTCTCAGTCTGTTGTGGCATTTCAGTAGCCCCCTCAACTGTCCACTCCACATGCGGGAGGCAACGTGCCCTAGAAAGGTAGGGATGACACTCCCATCAATGGGCCCACCGTCCACTGGGCCTTTAATGATCCAAGGTGCATCATCATCGGTCCTAGCTCGTTTGCTAGTACCTGCATTACAATACAACATATCTGTATATGTAGGTTTGCTGGCAGATGCATTAAATAAAATATATTTAATAAAACTATTTCACAAGTTTCCCGTTCTTTTTTTTCAATTAATGTACAACCGTTACATTTTACATTAATAAAATATAATGACAATTTTAAACTAATTAATCCCCTAAACATTACTACTAATTGATTATAACAATAATAAAAATAATTATAATAATTTTCTAACTAA